ACACTTTTTTGAATAGTGACAAGTAAATGAAATGATTTGCACCAAAAAAAAGACAAGGAAATGAAATGATCCATATTGACCACGCGGCCGCCTAGAGCCGCATGTTTGGACAAAGAATTCAAAGATAAGGAGCAACGTCAACACGTCATCAACAAACACAACCCAAATTTTGCTTTCCAAATTCAAATCATATCCTGAGCTGTGCTCCACTTCTAGTCATATTCGCAAATCACAAATCTCGCCCTATCAACTTGGTCAAAAGAACTCTAGAATCACGTGTTTCAAAGGTCAAAAAAGTAAACATGAATTAATAATACCCCTCAAACTTAACGAACTTAATGTCAACCATATCTCTATAAATACATTTAAGGACCTTGTGTTCTAGGATAATAAGCAAAGAAGAAAAACAGCATTACAGTCATGGAAGGCTTGATTCCCTACCTCATTCATGCCATGAAGAAGCAGAGGCCTCACCATGGTTTTAGGTCCATGTCCATGGGCTCTAGCCGGAGCTACCATTTGCTGTTAGGCGGCGGACAGGACTCCCTTGAGGGGTCGTCTCACCGGAGAACAAGGTCTGACTTCCAGCCACCTACCGTGGAGTTCCTGGAGCAGCAAGGGTTTAACAAGGGTTCTCTCAACTACCCTTCAATGGCTGGCGGCTCAACCATGAGCACGAGCATAAGCAGCTTTTCTCAGCAACAACTGTCCAAGCCTAGCAACAACTATGCTTCTAATCTTCGGCAACGAATCTGATTGTTCAAAGTTCACACAGAAAAACGGAAGTTTGGAGTTCAAGCAGAAAAAATTGAAGTTTGGAGTTCATGATTCTATTGATTTTTTTTTTTTTTCAAATAATTTCTGTTCGCTAGTTGTTTGGAGATGATCATTAAGTGTATTGTGTTCATTAAGGTATTGTCTGGATTCTTGAATTGTACATTCAAACCGTTTATGTAATAAATAGATGTTTCTTTAATTATACAAGGGAGTTGTTATGCAAATGCAGGATGATGATTTGATCTACCTTTTGCTAAATTTATGCTCTATTATTTAGTACGGTTGTAGTCTTTGATTTTTAGTTGTGGCTTACAGAAATTTTACAATTATTGAAAACTAAAATTAAGGATAAAAATTAACTATTTGTAACAATAAAAAATATAAATTTGTTTAATAGTATTAAAATTATTTTTATTTTTATTTTTATTTTTTTAATAATCATGATAAGATGTTGCAAAATACATAAAGTTAAACAATATTTTAGTGTAGCGTTGCAAAATTTATAAAAAGCACAACATACTAAGAAAAATTGTGATCAACAAGGGATTTTCAAAGATTTTAATATCATGTAAATGGATAAGATTCAAATAAAATGATTTATGAACCTAACATTATTTATATAGATATCCTTATGTTCAGAATGGCAAATAGAATTCTCTTTCACAAGGAATAGAAAATGAGGTCTATCCGTTTTACATTAATTAAGGAATGTGATTTTGCTGAAAGTTGATATGGATATGTTGACTTAAAACTTTTCCACATTCAAAGAAATCTTACCTAACGCAAACAACTCCCAAGAAAACACTTCATAGATGGGGAAAGCATGTAACAATTGAACATCATTACCCAAAAAAAAAAAAAAATGTAACACTTGAATAAAATTCAAAAAGTACTTAGAATTTGGCCGTTTCAAACACAAGTAAGCTATTTGTAGATGGTGGTTTCTAAGTCGCAATACCTAATGCATTTCGAGCACAAATATGGTCCTAAAAAAAATGGGAATTTATATGTGAACCCTTGTCATACTGAAGAAACTTCCATTACAGGAGTAAAGACTTGTTTTCATGGGAACCTCAATTATCTAGAATGATTTCATGTGACCGCACACCAAAGAAAAGTAAACATGCACAACCTAAACAAAGGAAAATAAACTCAAATTTCTTTGACCACGGTACCAAAAACACTTAACAATTCCAAATTCAAAATGATTCTGCCAACTAGCTTCCCATGCAGCAAATACAAGAATGCATGGACAAAACTGTTCTTCATCCAAACTGCAGCAGATAAACTTGATCAGGTTGAGGCAGTTAGGCTATTGATATACAAGTCCGCTCCTCTCAAGATAATTAACCAACTTCTGGCTTTGCAGCTGCAGTCCACCATGTGTTTAATGTCATTTTCATCTGTAGGACAGTGAACTTGTCAGCAAATAAGAAAGAAACTATAATTTACCATACCTCAAAATAAGGTTGTAAAAAGCTGGTCTAGGCAGCACTTAATTAGGTTTCAGGCAGTATTACTTTACCCACATCAACTTCTAAGTAGAAATTCAATGCAGTTTGCATCACCAAAATCAATTAAGTACACTCAAGCACTATTAGGCACACTTAATAATGTCTAAGGTGTCTAAGCAAATTTTTTTTCTTTTTTAGGCTAATGAAACAACATCATTCAATTTATTATAAAAATTATATTAAAAAAATTAAATGCTAAGTAATTCCCCTAAGTTATGCTTTTTAGACATGATAATGAATTAAAAAAGTTTAATTCTTCTGTTTATTTTGTAATTTTTAAAATTGTTTTACATTTTTTCTTTTTCTTTTCTTAAAATTATATCAAAAAAATATTTAATTAAAAAAAAAAAAAAAAAAAAGCCGCTTAAGCAACCTAGGCACTGTCTATATACCCTAAGCTTTAGGTTGTGGGTAACCACCTACTATTGCCTAATGCTTTCTGCAACCTTGCCTCAAGTTCAATGCTGAGATTTGCCTATAAAAGAATCATATGCTGAAAATAAATGTTCCAACTAGCTACAGTTTAAACTCCAATGCAAACCAGAAACACAATCCAGGCCAGACCCTAAAACCAGACTTTCAGAGATACCTCAACTTTCAATAATGGATTTTGTTGGCTAGATTTTAAAACAAATATACCATACTAAAAGAAAGCAAGCAAGAGAAACTGGGCAATTCATGCTATTTAATAAATAAATAAAAAAATGATATTCATGATGCATACTCCTTCATGAACAATGCTTTAAGAATGGATGTTCGCAGAGGAGAGAAATGGGATCCAAAAGCTTCTTAATTTTGAGGACGTTGATGACGAGAATAATACTGTGTAGAACGGAGTATAAGCAACAAAGCAACAAAAAAGTAAGATGATACCTAGGATGATATGCCCAAGGTTGACCTCAGACTACCAGGGTGAGGTTACTTCCCCAAACGAGTATCATACATCATAATCACAGCTTCCACAAAAGCTCCATTCCAGTGCAAATATCACCAAAAACCAGGAACAGTTAATGCACAAACTCTTTACTAAAAACATCTTATTTATGTTCAAGCAGCAACATTGAATAAAACCATACACCCTAAGGATCTAACCATATTACAAGTCTCAGGTATCTTTGAAAACTAATAAATTGAAAAGGATAAAAGGGAGCACCCACCTGGAGTTTGACAAGGAGCCTGAATCCATCAATAGAATGGCTAACACGAGTGGAGAGTGGAAGTGGGGGGCTTGAAGTTTGAACGGAGAGAAGATGGTATGCCGCCTACGGCAAGTCGGAATATCTTCCAGGTCGCGCTCAGGGTTCTGTATCACGTACCTTGATTATCCCCAGAAGCAGAAAATCAAACAATTTTCAATAATGAAGTTCCAAAAATCAAGAAAGAAAGAGAAGAATACTTCCAAAATGGTGGGCATGGACCAGGGGCTTGTATAGGTTGCCCTTGAAGTTGGTTTTAGCAGTGAAACGACGCCGTTGCATAGATTAGATTATCTTTAGAATTTTTTTTTTTCCTTTTTTCGTTACACAGTAAAAAATAACTTTATAACTTAAATCTGAATAAGATTACCATATGGCATGTTAAGTAGTCGCTTATTTGGGAAGAAACATGTATAAGAGAAGGTCTTGTATGTACCCTTCTGTAATTCAATTGATTAATAGCAATTTAACATATTATTAAAAGTGATTATATGTCTAATCACTTAAATTCAAGTAAGTAGGAGAAGGACTTTCGTTGTTATTATTTTGCATACTTTCATATTAAGAATGGTAAAAATGAGTCCAACCCTAACTTGACAATATAAATAATTTTTATGATAGGGTTAATACTTTCTTACTCATGACTCATTAACAATATATAATATCGTATTTATCTCCAAGGAGTATCCCATGAATACAGATTGCCATGGGGATAACCAGTGGAGTGGAGATGCTCCTAGAGGTCCCACACTCAGAATCCTCTCTCTCTAAAATATCAAGAAAAAGAAGCAACAAAGCAGGTTGTCAATTTTCTTTCATTCAACTTTGAAGATGGGAATATAAGTGTCCCAACAACTAACAACATTCTGATTTCAGATTGCATTGGCATTACCCTCTCACAAAATTAACAAGTTGCATGGTGGACACTTGAAACTTGAAAGTCCAGAAACAAACTGTTTAATTCAATCTTGTGCCTGAAAGTAGAACAAAGGTGCAGCCATGAACGAAAATAAATTTTTGCCCTCAAAAGATATGCGAATGCGTTTCAGGTTTCAACGAAAAGCTTGGATGATTGAACTGCAGACAAAAATACAAGGAACAAAAGGAAAGGCAGCTATTTAAACATGGGTTGAATTTTAAGAATCCAATAATGCTTCCAACTTTGCAATTTGATCCTCTTCATTCTTTCGCAGTGGACTCTTATCAGCCTCATCAAACAGATCGTGCTTCCACTTCTCAGCACCAGTACTGCTTGAATGATACCCTTGCCTTCCGCTGAATTTGTCTCTTTCCCTGAAACTGCCACCTCCTCCTCCTTCTCCATGCCTTTCTCTTGATGAAAATCCACCTCTATGTGCTTCTCCCCTGCTTGGCACCCAATCTCCAGCAGATGGCCTCTCATGTCTACCTGAGTGACGGGGCTTATGATCTCTATCTTCCCTTCTTTCACTTAACGATGCCATTTGGTCAACATGGCTTGCCTTTTCTGATTCTTTCGCTGTTTTGTCAGCACTTTCAGAGTTCCCTGGTAGCTTCTTCTCACTGAAGGCAGGCCTTTTCTTGGCTGCTGGCGGTGGTGGAAGTGGAGGTTTAGCTTCCATTTCAAAGAACCTATCATGGTGGCAATTCCCATTGTCATCGCTCTTACCTTCTGGTTTCTCATCTCTTTGCCTCTTGTCATACCTTTTTGCTACCCTTTCATCATGCTGATCTCTTGAATCCCTCCACCATCCACGTTCTAGAAAACACAGAACAGGGAAAAGGATCAGGCAATGAATGATATTGTTTGTAAAACATGCAGGGTTGAAGTTCTTTCAAAGCCATGCAAAATAAAAATAATGACCAAGATAAGCATTTTACTTAGAAAAAGGGGTTTCAATAAGCATGTTTAAGCAATCAAAATGGAACTCATTGAAGAGGAATCACAATAAATGTAGTTTGATTAGTACATTAATGAGTTTTTCTGAAAGTACTTCAAAGTTCAAAATAAGAAAAAAATGCATGCATCCATCTACATAAAAAAAAAAAAGAAAAAAAAAAAGAGACAAAGAGTGAGAGGCAGTCTCCAACTACAGTAAATTAACAGAAAGATAAACAAGAGTCAATAACATGATACGAGGATAGAACTAACTGACCAGGAGCTGCTCTGCGGCCAAAGCTTCGACCAACATGCGCGGCATTACCACGCTCATCATGCTGTTATAAGACATGCACAGGCAAGCCTAAGATTGTTATATACACGTGCCGAACAAGAATTCTGCTACATCAGGCCAGAAAAATGGTTTGAACACACTGAATAACAACCAGGTAATTAAACTCAACAGAAATGCTAGTTGTTTATGAGCTAGCATCAATTCCACGTCAACTTGAGGAGTAGATCAAGCTTCAGGCTTGCTTGTAAAAGAGAAGCAAGCATATTACACACATTATCATTGAAAAAAATACAAGAAACACAGTTAGCTTACATTAAAAAGACAAGAAAATGGTAAACAAAATGATATTTAATTAACTATATTTGACTGGCCAAATAAAATCAAGTTTGCCTCATTTCTTTTAAAACATAAAAATGACCCCATGATTATACTTCGTTGGTTAAAGGTCTTCCATTCTAAATAATATATTAAGAACTCAAAATCCTAATTTCACCAAATCAATCAAGACATTAAACCCAAACCAGAAATATTAACAACTTGGAAGTATATGCTTCAAAGAAACGATGCTCCGAATTACATCTAGTCTACACCTATCATCTATCAAAGCCATAAAATACAGATCTTCATGTGAGCTACATTTATTTAATAGTTTTTACAAACAACATTAATATATGTCTAATGACATTGATTCCTTTTTTCATTTTTAGATAGCATGTGTATCCGGAACCTTTGGCCTAACTAGGACCACGGGTATCTGCATACCATGTACCAGACTCCCCCATGGATGGCAGGCATGATCCGTTGGAACTGTTTTGCAAATAGCAATTTTTGTATCAATCAGGATGTGGGGTTCAACAATCAAGTAGATTCAAAACAAGCTAGATAAGTAGAACCTAAAGCTCTTAAATCATGGAAAACCCATTTGGAAACCAGCAAAAGAAATGCATATTCAAGAACCAACACAACACCTGAAAATATGAGCGGGATTTAGGGACTTCAGTAGGATCAGAAGAACGTTTCTCTTCACCATGGCTTGCATCATGTTTTCTCTCTGTCTGCCTGACAACAGCCCCATTTTCAACCTTGGAATCAGGTGCTTCAGAGGCCTCAAGAGGTAAAGCATCTTGAAGCCGGCGGCGGTGCTTTTGTTCCCGATCTGCATGCTCTCCAACATTATTGTCGCTAGGCAATCTTTCAGCCTCTGGTTTTCCATCCCTCCTAGACCTCTTGGGACTAAAATTCCATGTATCAAAACAAGAATTGTAAACCCAATTGAAATTTACCCTCTAAAAACCCATATCAAGAAGCATTACAAATCGAGAGACAGAGAAGGAAGGTGAATAAAATGGTGAAGAGAGAAAGAAGGAGCACCTGGGTTCCCGGTCGAACCTGTAATAGTGTCGTCTGGAATCGGAATCTCGTCGTTCTCGACGGGACATTCTGGTGTTCTGCACAGAGAAGGGAGTCAGAGGTGCTTCAAGCTGGGAAAGGATATTTTGCACAACTTAGGTTTCGTTATGGCCGCAGGATTAACATACTGTCGTACCGACGGTTGAGATTTAACAGGATCTGGATCGGACCTAGGGTCATGTTTGGTGGATAATAATGCTAAAAAAGTGTAGATAGGAGCATAAATTTTGTGATTTTTTTATTTTAAAATATAAATTTTTTGAGTTTTTAAATTAATTTTATTTTACTCTATTTAACGATATGTACATTGCTATTTTTTTTATTTAAAACATGAATTTTGTCATTCCAATTATGATCGTTGGTTATATTATCATTATCGTTTAATAAATTTGTAAATAAAAAAAAAATTGTATCCTCGTGTAGACCTTTTCTTGATAATAATGACTATTTTTTAGCCAAATTATAAAATAAAATAAATTTAAAAAACTTTCTCACAAAACTAGAACAACTACACCTTAATATTAATAATTTTTTTTTTCTAAATTAAGAGAGGAATCATGAATATGAATTCTTTTCATCTTTTAAAGAATATTTATTTTTTTTAATTTTTTTACTAATGAAAAATAAAATTAAATGCTAAGACTTAATTATTTTCATTTTTTATAATTTCTATAATTTTAATTTATTTTTATAATTTGATAGAGAGATAATCACTATCACTAACCAAACATGGCCTAATTAAGAAATTTCCAAGAGTTTCTATTGTTCCTTCACTACTTTTTTATGAGAGAAAAATACTTATACGAAAGTTGAAGAGTAAGCTCTATCAAATTAGATGAGGTCTAACTATCTAATGTTTTCGGTTTTAATGAAGGTCACTTGCCACCTTATGATCAGTTGGTTTTGTTTGAACGGAGATACTATAATGTGGGAGAAAGAACTTTGCTCAAGCGGTGCAATGTAGGACATACATCTTAAGGTATGTTCTTAAGGTATGTTTGCTTTTTATTTATTTATTTATTTATTTTTAATTTTAATTTTCAGTTGTACAATTAGAAGTAATTCTTTTTTTTCATTTCTTAATTTGCATGCAATTTGAACTTAAATATCTCTTATTTTCATTTAAAAAAGATTACTACTAATATACTTAGTTTGTTGGTTATGTTTGATTTTTTTTTTTAATTTACAATTAAGGTGTTTTTAAGTCAACTTTTGTATGCCTCAAGATAATTCCCACCCTAAACAATTTTAAGAACATATCTCTCACATAAGCCTAAGCATTTAAGAAAATTAATTTACTTAAGTGTTGATCTCAAAACTTGAACCATATTTATTTATTAGTAAATCTAACCACTGAAATTACGTTTGAGATTTTTTTTTTTTTTTGACCAGGTAGATGGTTAGGAAGTTAGTAGAGTTAGTTTGTTAGCAAGTGGAATTTTTCCAGGAAAGTAAACGTTCCACCCCTCATTTGAGGCGCGCGACCATTAGGTCGCAAGTTGGTGGAGTTCACGGCGGTGGCAGAACTCGAAGCCCTAAACTCCGCTTCACCCAAACCCTAAAGCTTGGGGCTCAACCAATTAGGCCACAAGCCCGGTTGGCGAGATTATTATGTAGTGTTGATATAGTGGCTTTTTTAATTTTGTATTATTGTAAAAATTATGTTAATAATTGATAATTACTTTAAAAAAATTATGTACATTTACAATATTAAAAAAAAGGTTTTTTTAATAGAAATAGAATATACCATAATTTTAAAATTAATCAATTTAAAATTATACAAAATTCTATATATTCTACTAAACTCACACACCCATGACCAATGTGGGATAGGAACACTACAATCGGGGTCCCTAAGCAGCAAACATGTCCATAATGGCGTTAAGGTTTTCTAAATAAGGATAGAACGCGCTATTATTAAAAAAAAAAAGGTAATGCAATTTGGATTCTATATTATAAATCATTTAATGGGGTGAATCTTTTAATATTGAAGTTATCTCTTATTTAATGTTTATATTTTATAAAATTTAACACAACCATAACTATAAAACAAAAATTCATATACGATTATATTAAAATAACATAAAGTATTGAAAAAAATAATGAATTATAATAAATTTATACTTTTAAATAAAATATTATGTAAAAAAGTGTCGCTTTCTATACTCGAGATACTTTCTTCTTGATTAGTAGCAATAATTGAGAAGTTTGAAATTAACACCTAATAACTCATAATTTAATTGATAAAGAAATTTACTCTTAACTTATTTAATTAAATAGCTGTTAAAAAAAACTTTACTAATTAAAATTTGATTTATTAAAAAGATAAATAAAAAAATAATTTCTTATAAATTATTTAATTTTATTGTGGAGGACCAAACATATATACTATAAAAATACAAATTTAACAAGGCAAAAGTGGAGGTATTTTGGAATACCTCAATTGCTGTAACTATTAATCCTTCTTTCCAGCATCCTTCATCTTACCAGCCTTGATCCCACGACCTATGACTCAAGGCAATTTGATACCAAATGCTCAGCCGACAGGCCAATGGGAAGGCTGGTGCCTGCATCTGCTTGTGTAACGAAAAATAGATGCCTGTACCACAGTACCCACTCCCCTCCACTTTTAACAGTACAAGGACAATAAGAAGGACAAGTTTAGAGTTTAAGAATTACTACTATGAAGGTGACCTAAGGGTAAGACTTAATTATAGTAAATATTGGCTTATAAATTAGGTTTATAGTTTAAACTTTTAAGTTAATATTTAAGGAAATTAAATTTTTTTTAATTAAATATGTTAACTAATATAAGAGATTTATCTTTAAAATCACCTATAAAATAATTAGATTCAAAGTATATAATAACTAACTCAAAAACACCTTAAATGAAAAAAAAAAAAAATGCTACGATATGATGCAACCAATACTTGTACTGAAATCTTTCTCCTCCTAAATTCTCCTAAACAAGGACAGTTGAGTTTGAACTACTTTCCCTAAGGCGGAAAGTTCATTTCATTCCCTCTATTACCTCCCCCCACTTTTTTTAAAAAAAATTTATCAACCTTCAAATTTTCATGTTGATTTAAATCACCCCAATTATAATTCAGTTGAATTAAATCACCTAAAATTGGGCTTAATATATCTTAAAAAACCCAGATGTGATTTGTTTTTTATTTATTTATTTATTTATTTTTGAACAGTGTGAAATCTTTTTTCTTGGGAGAAAGGAGAATAGGGGACTCGGGATTTGATTTCAAGTCTTTGTAGTCCTACGCACGTCCCTTGTAAGGGGGTGGCCATTTGGCCACCGAGTGCGAGACGTTTTTTATTTATTTTAATTTTAAGATATACAATAAAAAACATATCTTATCTATTCTTTTACTCAATGTATAAGAGCGGCTTAGTTAATTAAGAGTGTGTTTTCACCTTTTTAGTGTGTTGTAGTGTTAAGAAACGAGCAAACCCGCAAAAACAAAAGTGGAGGTATTTTGAAATACCTCTTTTGATTGAAGTATGCTCTTTCTTTGCTTCTCCTTGCTTTTACCAACCTCGAACCCATGACCTGTGGCTTAACTATTTCGCAAAATACGCCAAGCCAGCAGGCCAATGGAGAGGTTGGTGATTGTGTTGTCTTGAACAATTGTAAAGTAGCCTGTACCAGAGCACCCACCTTGTGATTAAGCCTTCGTTTGAGTGTGAAGTGCCGTGATGATAGATTTTTTTGTCTTTTTTATTGCAAAAATTATATAACGTATTAACAAAAATTACAAAAAAAAGATAAATATTAATTAAAATTAATTATTTATAATAAAATTAAATTTTAGATAAAGTGCTGTGAAAAAAAAAGTATTGTGTACAAAATTCCTAAACAAAACCTTAGAATTTTTCACAATAAAAAATCTCAATTTCATCATTCAGAGGAATGGGGTATAGCCCTATTTCAACGTGCATAAAAGGAAGAAATATATTAAGAATGATAGAGGACTGATTAAAATAGTGCAATTTGTTTTTTTTTTTTTGAACGGTTTACATTGGAAGTTGGAGGATTCGAACCTCAATCCTTACAGTTTCAACTGGATTTAAAGTTATCGGATCACGAGATCCAAGTGTATGCAATTTGTTATTTTGTTTTTCACCCTCGCAAAAAAAAAAAAAAAATCATTAGATGACGTATCATCTCCTTTTTGATCTCACCAATGTGAAGATTGGGGATGTTGTTTTTCTTTTCAAAAAAAGTTTAACAGTTTAGAATTCTCGGAGCAAAAGTGGAGGTATTTTAGAATACCTCATTTTATTATGCATAGATTAATCATGGTCCCTCTGTTCTTCCATTCTCTTACCAGCCCTTGAACCTAAGATCCAGGAGACTAAAGCATTTGAAACCAAATGCTGAGCCAGCAGGC